AATCACAAATGCAGACAGTGCATCCTTATGGATGTATATGTTAAAAAAATTGATAAAAAGGAAATGCTGAAGCAAAGTCAGACAAACCATTCAGTGCTGGAGGGCAGCTGAAAAGCCACCATAGGAAGGTGACCCGGGGGCCCTGTTTGGATTTTGTATCCAAATGATTTCACCATAGATTGATGGTCTTAGACTTAGCACATATTCTAAATTTGATTTTTTTTTTTATTTTTACTACCAAGGAGCCAAGAAGGACACATGATAAAAGAGCAGAAAGGGAACAGATTGGGAAAAATATGAATATTTCATATGCAATGGAAATAAAGTGGAGAAAATGAGGAACAATCAAAGAAACCTCTCATTTGAGTAAACAAAAATCTAATGTCTGCCTGGAAAGCACTGATTTATCTTTCATGGGCCAAATCAAGTTTTACTATCTCCAGGAAGCCTTTTGTGACCCTCCCTCCCAGAAAGAATCAGTTACTCTTTCCTTCTTTGCCTCAATCTACCTGGAACAGACTCGATCCCACGTCTCTGACACATTTTTGTCCTTCTTTGTTGTGTCTCTGTCCCCAGACTAGATCCTTAAAAGCAGAACAGGATGCTGTCTGAATCCATCTCTCCCATGCATGAGATAGTGCCTGCCACATGGTAGATACTCTGCAAATATTTGTTAAATGACAAGTTTGAAGAACTCCATAGTACCAGGCAGAAGGCAGAGCCATCACTCAATAAAATGTTGTGAAATTCAAGAATACTCTAATTGCCTTTAGAATATTCTCATTGCCTTCTCTGGATCCTTTCCTCCTTCATATACCCCTTCTCCTCCAACTGCCACATCTCTGAGAGGTTGCCTGCTGTCCAATGCTCCAGCCTATGGGATCACAACCACCTTCACTCTCCTAAGGACTCTCTAACCTCAAATGTCTCCTTTTCATTCTCTAATCTTCCATCCCAGAAATGGAAATCTTTTTCTTCCTTTAGGAAAAAGGACCTGTTTTCATTTGAAAAGACAGCAAGGACTTAACCTGAATAAGTCTCTAGTTGGAGAAATTTCAAGAAAAATGGTAAAGGGCAAAGAGGAATTCCAAGCATGCCAAACCAAACCCCTGCCAGGGAGAGACTTGGAAGAATGACTTTTGAGTCCCACTGCTCTTCTCTCCTCTGGCCTGTACACCCATATTAAATAGATTTGCAAGCCAAGGATTTTGTTCAGTATTTATTCAGTTCATCCACTTGTTTCCACCCCTTGGCTTCTTAACCCACAGTGCCAAAATTGGAGCCATTTTGTATGACATGGCCATGGGCATTTTCTTCCTCCTGGGGAGAACAAAAAGGACTCCTTTTAAGAGTGATCTTCTCATCATAATTGCCACCAGATTCCCAGAGGTGTCTTATATCAAAGAAAGGTTAAGAAACCTGTACTAATAGAAAACTTTTAACTTCATCTCAGAGAGGTGTGAATCAATCTTAGAAAACGCTTCCAGAGAAAGACTTTCCCTAGTTAACCCTTTACCATGTTTGCTACTTTTTTTTATCCCCCAAGCTGTTGGTATTCTTAACTTCCATTAGTATTTTCAGAGGAATATTTCTCCCTGAAGTCTATCAAAGTCTTATTAAAAATATTCTTAGTTCCTCATGAAGCAAGGTCCCCATATTATTCGCTGGCAATTAGGTCAGTGGCCTAATACCATGAGCATACTGGGAATAAGCTGTACCAATTCCAATTCTTAATTCCTTGTAGAAGCATTTCAAAGGCTACAAATGCATCCCTAGCAGAAAGAAATAAAAATGTAAGACTACACAAGAATAGAGAATCACAAAATTTCAGACTTGGAAAGAAACTCAGAGGTTATTTTTCTCCCTTATCCACAGCCAGTATTCTTATACTTTTTCCAACAAATTGTCATTTAATTACTGTTTGAAGGCCTCCAATGACAAGGAATGCACTCTTGCTCAAGGCATTTGCCTTATTGTTATAACCCCTGAATTCCTAGGAGCTTCATCCTCAAGGTTAGACAAAATCTGACTTCTGGTAAGACTGTTTGAGAAATCTGGACAACCTGATTCCCTCATGTATCTAGATTGTCCATCAAAAACTGTAAGGCAGTTTTTTTTTTTTTTTTTTTTTTTAAGATTTTATTTATTTATTTATTCGACAGAGAGAGACACAGCGAGAGAGGGAACACAAACAGGGGGAGAGGGAGAGGGAGAAGCAGGCTTCCCATGGAGCAGGGAGCCCGATGAGAGGCTCGATCCCAGGACCCTGGGACCATGACCTGAGCCGAAGGCAGAGGCTTAACGACTGAGCCACCCAGGCGCCCCTGTAAGGCCATTTTTGAGTCTCTCTTTTTCCTTAACATGTTTAGACAGCACAGCATCCTGTTTATTTTTCTTGCTCCCCATAGTTCCTGATACTATGCAGGTGGGAGTCATTGAAAGAATGAATGAATGAGTGTGTATCTCCACTGCATCTCTGTATGATAAGATGGCAGGAAATGCCCAGGATCCTAAGTCAGAAAGACATCTACCACTGTCCAGTGTGACAAGAGTTCCTTAGAGCAATGGGGGAGGTGGTTCTCTGAGACAGAGTGAGGGGAAGCGGGCATTACATGACTAGACACTGCCTGGACACCCATCTCCTGTGAGTTATAGACTGAGATGTGAAGCCTGAATTTTCACACTGTCCCTGAGACCTAAGCTTAAAACAAACAAATAAACAAACAAGGCACAGGTATCTCCTTGCTTCCTGCACTTAGCCAGGGCTTAAAAAATGAAAATGACTATGGTGTCAAGTAGAACATTCAGGGAAGTGAGGCTTTAGAGTATAAGAAAATAGGAGATCAGGAAGAATTCAAGAATGCCTTCCCAATTAAATAAATTCAAGTTATTTAAAACACCCTGTGTTTCAAAAAATAAATAACACTCTTCATTTAGAGCTATGGTTAAGAACACAAAATATGCTACCAGAGTCAGGGAAGGAAGACTGAATTCTAACTCTTTTACTTACTTGCTTGTGAGATTTTAAGCAAGTTATTAAGTGTCTGTATGCCTTAGTTTCTGGAGCTATGAGATTAATACCACCAACCACATAGGATTGTTGTGAGAATTAAGGGCTGTGCACATTAATTAGAATAGTGCCCAGAATGTGTGTGTGTGTGTATGTGTGTGTGTGTAGAGAGAAAGTATATGGAGCAGTATGTATATGAAATCGAATATTCCTGTTATGCATTGTCTGTATCCATAGGTACAGCCTGGCAAGTAAAAATGTGCCATTGAATCACACCTAAAAGATGCTTTGGGGGGTGAAGCTGATTATCAGGAGATCTGGCTTTGGTCCCAACCATGTCATGAATTATCTGGCTGACCTATGTTAATCAGTTAATCCATGCTTCAGCGTCCTCAGCCAGACTTACCCACCTCACAGAGACATTATGGGGGCAAAGTTTAAGATATGACAAGTTAATATAATGGTTCTAATCATACAAAGGTCTGCTGATAAATAAGAGGTTTGATAACCCATAGTGGTTCCTTTCTCTTTGTAGGCTCATCAAGATCCGATAGTCTTGGAGTGGTTAGTCACTACCCCAGGAACCCTCTCTCTTTTTTCCTTCCCTTGCATTTGCTCTTAGAATGAATGAGTCCTGTTATTGTCTGTGGGACACTTATTATTAATGTACTTCAGGCCTGATTGAACTCACATGCCCACCAGGTTTGATCCTTGCGTTAGGCCCACACAGCTTTCTTTATTTTCAGTGTCATAGTCACAGGGCAAGATGAAGCAAAGAAGAATAACACCCATCCCCTACCCCCCACTCCCCAAAAAAGTAGAGCAAGATAAATACCTGGAGTCTCTGTGGAGTCTCTGCCCTAAGGTCTGGAGAGGGCAGAGTGTATGCTGTATATTCCAAGCCTCCTTTCTTCTCTGCCCCAGCACAGTCCAACCTGGGGGATGGTTCTAAAGCCCAGACTCCTCTCATTGTATCGGGGCAAATTACAAGAGGAGGAAGAACATACTCTTGATCACGGGAACCTGTTCTTTGAGACCTGACTACAGGGATGTCCACATCTTTGCCCTCTTTGTCTGTTCTAATAGTTGTTCCATCCCCTAAGATTTTGATCTCACAGTGCCCTTGACCAACAGTCCTCCTCATTGTGAGGTGGAATTACACAGTGAGGGAAGAAAACCTGATTTCTCCTAAACAGCTGTCAGAACTGGTGTTCTTCAACAGCCCTTGCACGAAGTGGGCCCAGTTCCTGTACCCCTTTAGCCTTCGCATATTCCATCTTGTTCACATTCTCTTCAAAGTCTGATTCTCAGCACAATGCCCCATATTGCACAGGGGTGTGACTCACATACACCACTTCTCTCCAAGACCTAGGCAATTAACTCTTATTAATACAGCCTACATTTTTGCTTTTTTTTTTTTTAAGATTTTATTTATTTATTTGAGAGAGAGGATGAGAGGAGAGAGAGAGCACATGGTGGGGGGGCAGTGTCAGAGGGAGAGGCAGACTCCCTGCTGAGCAGGGAGCCCGATGGGGGACTTGATCCTGGGACTCCAGGATCATGACCTGAGCCGAAGGCAGTCGCTTAACCAACTGAGCCACCCAGGCGCCCTGCTTTTTGTTTTAACAGCCCTCAGTAAAGGCGACTGCAGCAAAGATGACACGATATATGTGATGAGTGTCCTTCTGAAATTCAGATATGCTTATGATCGTCTCTTTTACACTTAATGGATTCCAGCACAGAATAAATAATAAAGAATTACTGCTACACAGTTGAGGCAAATTAAAGGCAATGCATCTGAGACTTCAGCAATGAATACAAATGCAGGTCATGAAGGTCAAGTACAATCAGGGCTTTGGCTGGAGGTCCAGGATTAAGCTGCCCCGGTAGGACCAAATTTAGGTTGAAATTATGCAGTGTTCTGAAGGGCACACACTGTCCCTCTAGCCCACTGTGACACTCCATCAGACTTCATGCTGTCAGTACTCACCATTCTTGCAGAGCAGGACAGCCAGGTAATCCTGAGAAGAAGAATTGATGTAGAGCAAGAGGCTGGGCGCCTGGGCTGTCACAAAGCTAAATGCAATATTTTCCTTGGATGGAGTTGCATCTGCATAAATCGCTGAGGATGAGAGGCTTATATTTTTGGTCACTGGGTAGGGTTCTTGAAACATATAAGTAATTGAAGTGCCAGCCTCAAAAACAGCAGAAACCTCTGAAAAATAGAAGAGGGGAATGCACACATTGCAACATTTAGTTGATTATTCAGGGCGGCAGTAACTGTTTATTGTTTGCTATGCATCAAGCACAGCATGAGGGTTTTTGCCCGAATTATATAATATGCTTTCCACAATAAGTTTGTAGCGGCAGAAGTCGTTACTCTTATTTACAGATGAGAAATATGAGACTTGCAGGGGTTAAGCACCTTGAACAAGGTTGCATAGCTAAAAAAAGAGAGCTGAGATGTGCATCCTGAAGTTTTGTTCCAGTTTAACATACATTTGCCGTATAACTACCATGTGCCAGGCTTATTTCTCAAGAAGCAAAGATAAACTGTCCCTGCCTCCAGCATAGTAGAGATAAAGTTTACTGGGACCTTCTTAGTTTCAAAACAGATTCTAGCAGTTCCAGCTTGTGTTTTTCTGGTGTGTTAGGAGGATTATGAGTGGGTCCTAAGTTACTGAGAATAGGACACTGGGAGAAGCAGTGGTAATTCTCATGGTGTTGGGTAAAATATTAGGATCTGTGGAAACAGAAAATAGAGAAGCTGTCTAGGAATTTGTATTCAATTCCAAAGATAGCAAGCGTGAACAAATAAGCCTTCCTATGGGATACGATTCCTATAGCATAACGCATTGGATGGAGTTCTGCCACCACCATGGAAAGAGGCAGCATCTACAAACCAATGACATTCAATTAGCAGGAATGTGCAAATCACCCACCTTCCCTGTATCATGTGCTCACTCCAACTGTTATCCTTTTAATTTGTTGGAACGAGCACAGGATTTGGCTTCTGTTCTGGATCTGAAGGCTCATTCAATACCATACTAGCTGTGTGGTCCCAGGTTAAGTTAGTGAACCCCTGTGGAGACTGTTTTGTCATCTGGTGAATGGGAAACATAACACCTCCACAGTATTTCTGGGTGACTAATTGTGAGATATTGTGTGTAGAACACTTATAAGAAATACATTATAGTTGGATCTTGTAGGCTCTTCATATTAGAAGAGACTTTAATCTGAACCCGTCACAGTTTCCTTCACAGACTGTATCTGTTTATTGACTGAATATCCATCCAAATGCTGAGATATTCTTTTCTTTCAATACAGGCTGCTCTAAGTTCTCCTTCAATTTTATCTCTATACAGTAATATAGTATCAGGGCATGGAGGAAAGTTTCCTACAGAGTACAACATAGCTTGGATCTGGCAGCAACCCCCTACTATAAAGATAGCACAATAAACATGAACCCATATTGGCATGATTGATTTCTCTTTTTCTGGAATCATGTAGAATTTTCCTAATTCCCCATGAAATCCCCTGATTGAGTTGGTGGCACCTAGAACATAATCAATCCTGGCTTTCCCTTCCTAATTCTATTGCAAATTTGTTCTACCTTTGTGAAAATTCCATAACAGCCTGTAAGAGTGCCAAAAAATTAAAGTTGCATATTTATGCATATTGCTTAGCAGATTGGGAATACCAGTTCATTTTGACTAAAGGTTCAGAGAATGTGTTCTGCATTTATCATTCGGGTTACATTAGTACTCCTGATTACAAAGATATGCGGCGGAGACTTGTGACAGTGAGGATTCCGGTTAATCATCAGCTTGATTCAAGCACTTTCCTTGAGTGAATTTCCTCAGGGACATTTGGCCTGCATTTTGAGCTACTATCTCCTAGTTAACAGAATAACGGCTTTTATTTGATGTTGTGAGTATGTTCAAATGTAACTGTAATACAGAGCATTCTGTTATGAATAGCATATTAGATATGGGCATATATATTACATTTTTTCTTAATACTTAGGACAGGAAATTAAAATGCAAAGCACTTTTAAATTAGAAATATCCTACCAAATTTCTGTCTTCCTTTCTCCCCTAGTCCCAGTTCTAATTATTCTTAATGTTTAATTATTTTAATGTTTAATATTTTGATACTGTCAATTTTAACATAAAGCTTCCTTGAGCAAAACACCTGGATTCTATTATTCTCTAAGTTTCTTATATTTTATAATCAAAGAGTTTAAGCTCCCTGACCATATTTAAGCTGAGTGATTTGTCTGAATACACAAAACCACTGGGCTCATTAGAAGAAAAATCTTAATTTGGATGTGATCATCTATGACCATCATGCTACTCCAAGGCCACAGAAGAAGTATTAGCATTATCTATTGAGCACCTACTTGGTGGAAAGAATTATGCTGATTATGTTCTGAGAAGAAAGGACACGTATCAAACAAAACAAAACAAAACACAATGGAAGGTAGTCTGGAGTGTGATGTGTGTGACAGAGACAATGATCCCTAGAGCTGGAGGTCTCTGTGGCTACAATAGCTTGACCAGACCTTATAAAGAGGAACTCCACACTGACCAGGAGTAAAGTGTGGAATGAACTAAGAGAAACAGCTAGGAAATAATGTGGCACTGAAGAGAGTGTGTCTCTGAGCCAGCTGTGGAGTCTGACAGATGGGAACTGACACTTGGCTCTGCCCCTCTTTAACACTCTCACAGGATCCCACTCAACCTCAGCTCATGTACAAGTAGAGATGGATTCAATCTTGCAGTAGGTAGAAGGACTGGAAGACATTATGTAGAAGCACAACACATAGCAGGAACTCAATAGACAATAGCTGGTCTAAATAATAGTGATAGAATTTAGAATTAGAATAAGCGTAAGGTAATGAGTAGGCTAGTGATTACCTAGAAATCAGTCAAGGTGTGATTAATTTAGCAGAACATCAAACTAAAAATATATGAAACAACTGGCAATTTGAATGCTGAGTGGATATTTCATAATATTAGACATTATTCATTTTTCTGATGATGATGGTCTTATGGATCTGTGTTTTTAATAAGCTCTTATATTTTAGCAATACATATTGTAATATTTATAGATGAAATGATGTGATATTTGAAGTTTGCTTCAAAATAATAAAGGAAGAGAAGATGTGAATATATAGATGAAATCAAAATGGTCATGAGTTGATCATTTTTGAAGCTAGATAATGGGTGCATGAGGATTCTGAAACTCTTCTCCCTATTATCACCAAGAATTGGGTCTTTTTGTAAAGAAAAGCAAAAAAAAAAGTGATACACACTGGCAGGAAGGTAAGTATTAAAGAACTTTTCAACAGGTTTTTGGCAACCGGTAAGGCATACTTACATATGCATACTATTTTTTTCACTGAAGTTCCATTAGCAAGAAAATAATCAATCCACGTGTTTATCACAGCATTATTTATGTGCAAAAGTTGGGGCAATCTAAAATTCCAAAACAGGGGTGCCGGGGTGGCTCAGTCGGTTAAGCATCTGCCTTCAGCTTAGGTCCTGGGATCCAGCCCTATGTTGGGCTCCCTCCTCAGCAGGGAGTCTGCTTCTTCCTCTCCCTCTGACCCTCCCCCTGCTCATGCTCCCTCTCTCGTCTCTATCTCTCTCTCTCTCAAATAAATAAATAAAATCTTTGAAAAAAATAAAAAAAGAATAAAATAAAATTCCAAAACAATAATAAGAACAAGCACTTAGTGAGACTTTATTTGCCAGGCACTATCCCAAGTGCTTTCTGAAATGCTTATTAAATGTCACCACAACCCTCTGTGATGGATTTTTGAATTTTCTAATTTTATAGATGAGAAAACCAAGAGATTGGGAAGTGAGTTACATAAGTGGCATCACACACTGTAGACTGTAGATGAGCCAGAATCTGAACTTAGGCAGATCAAGTGCAGAATGATGCCACTATTGCTAAGCTAAACTGCTCTGGGGATAGAATGGGTTAAGTAAGCAGAGGCAATCCCACCAGTTGGAATTTATTGCAATCATTAAAACTGATGAATTATATAGAAATCTCTATAAAATGAAATAAAGAAAATTTGATATAAAATGTAGACATGAAATACAGAATTATTGCAGCTATATTAAGTACAAAGAAAAGAGCTAGAAGCAAATCAGATTTCCTTTTTAATATGTCTATTTGAGTAATTAGATTTTTTTCTAGGTTCCCAAATATATTTCCAAATAGAATTCCAAATACATTGTCTAACTTTTTAATTAGAAAAAAATAACAAATGACACCACTATGACAGCCATATACAGATTCTTCATATAATGGTGGGGGTGCAGGTGGGCTAAAGACAAGTACACATTAATAAGTGGTGTTAGAATAGCTGGATCTCCGCAAGTACCCAGTAATAAATGGTGTTAGAATAGCTGGATATCTGCAGGCAAAAGAATGAAGCTGAACCCCTATATCACACCATCTACAAAAATGAACTCAAACTGCATCAAAGACTAAATGTAAAAGCAAAACTATAAAATTCTTAGAAGAAACCATGTCCATAAACCTTTGTGACCTTCAGTAAGGCAATGATTTGTTAGACATAATACCAAAAGCACAAGCAACAAAAAGAAAACAGTAAGAACCAGATGTTATGGGCGCCTGGGTGGCTCAGTTGGTTAAGCGACTGCCTTCGGCTCAGGTCATGATCCTGGAGTCCCGGGATCGAGTCCCGCATCGGGCTCCCTGCTCGGCAGGGAGTCTGCTTTGCCCTCCGACCCTATCCCCTCTCATGTGTTCTCTCTCATTCTCTCTCTCTCAAATAAATAAATAAAATCTTAAAAAAAAAGAACCAGATGTTATAAGAATTAAAACTTTTGTGCTTCACAAGATACTATCAAGAAAATGAAAAGGGAGAAAATACTTGCAAAGCATATATCTAACGTGAGAATTGAATTAAAAATATGCAAAGATTTCCTACAACTATACAATAAAAAGAAAAAAATAACTCAATCAAAAATGGGCAAACACTTTAAACATTTCGTCTAAGAACATGAAAAGATATCCAATGTTATTAGTCATTAGTGAAATGCAAGTCAAAACCACAATGAGATACTATTTCACACAGTCACCGTAAGATGTCTTTTATCAAAAGGATGGATAATAACAAGTGTTGGTGAGGATGTGGAGAAATTGGAATCCTTACACTTTGCTGGTAAGAATGTAAAATGGAGCAGCCACTTTGAAAACAGTTTGCCAGTGTCCTCAAAAAGTTAATTACCATATGACCCAAGTAATCCCACTTCTAGGTATATACCCAGGAGAACAGAAAAAGATAAAGCCATACAATATGTACCTGAATGTTAATAGCAGCATTATTTATAATAGCCAAAGAAATGGAAACATCCCAATGTCCATCAGCTGATGAATGCATAAACAAAATGTGTTGCATCCACATAATGGAATAAAGTACTCTTTGGAAATAAAAAAGGAACAAAATACTGAAATGTTAAGTGCTACAACATGGATGAACCTTGGAAACATTATGCTAAGTGAAAGAAACTACACATTAAAAGGCCACATAGTGTATGATTCCATTTATATGAAATATCCAGAATAGGTAAATCCATAATGACAGAAAATAAATCAGTTTTTTCCAGGCACAGAGGGGAGAGGTGAAGGAGGGGTAGCTACTAATATGTATAAGATTCCTTTTTAGGGTGATGAAAATATGCTGAAATTAGATAATAGTGATGGTTGTGCAACTTTTGTGAATTGCTAAAAATCATGGCATTATACAATTTAAAAGGGGGGATTTAGGGAAGAAAAAGAGACACATGCAAAACATTAAAAAAAATGAATCCTATTACCATATTCCTATACTGAATGAAATTAGGGTGTTAAAGAGAAAAAAGAAACCAAAAAGATGCTGGATGGGTCTCCAGCCCTGACATTTATTAGGAAGTCATTCGACCTCTGTGAACTTCAATGTTCTCAATACGTTTATATCTTCCCCACTAGGTTGGCCAAGAGAAATGTATGTTGTGGTCAATAATTACTATTTAATTGCATGATTATCATTACTCTGTACTGTAATCAGAAACAGAGAGTAGGTCAACGGATTATAGTTCTGGCCCAGGCATTGGTAATTCCACCCCATATATTTCTAGTATTTACACCCCGTAAAATACATATGCCCTGGGAAGTTAACATGGAAGAGTAACCCAATCGTGAGCACCCTTGTTTAGGATCATCTCCTAGCTAGTGACTCTCATTTCCAGTCCAGTTCCCCCAGGTAACTGGCATGGCTAGAAGGCTTGGTTAAAAGATTCATCCTACATACTTTGCAGCTACTGCATATAAAGGAAATCATTTCCTTAGATTTATGAGAAAGAGGAGAAAGTTTGGAACTGTGAAATATGAAGCAGGCTGAAAAGGCTAAGCACATATTTGTCTATTTTGCTTATAGATTGAAGTAAAAAGTGGGGAGAGAGCACAGAGGCTATTTCAACATATGCTGCCAAAAGATAGGGTGATATGGACAGAAGATAATTAATCAGAGTTGTTTCAGGAAAAAAAAAAACACAAAAGCCAATTAAAAACTAAGCTAAATTTAGAACAATATGATCTATGAGATGTTTGAGCAATGTCCCTGGAGAAATGTAGAATCACACTGTTCTTCTTCTTCTTCTTTTTTTTAATTCCAAACACAGGACTTGGGTATAGATCCTATAGAACAATGCTAGTTTAACTTTGTGAGAAGGCCTGATGGTGTTGATTCTGTATTTGCTTCTTCTGGCCATGTGGGACCAGACTAAGGGTGGCATTTAATTTTTTTTTAGGGGCAGTTATTCAGATACCTGCCCCAGTGTGAAAATCCAGTGGCACTTGGCTTGTCTTAGCCCATGGTCAACACCTACTGGGATGGGGCCACTTTATGTCAAACTCCATGCAGGGCCCAACACACTGTTGGCCCTAAAATTTGTACCGTTCATTTTCTCCCAAGGAGTATAATGATTCTCAACAATAATAAGCAAGTAATTCAATCTAACTGTGGAGAAGGCCAGTGTAAATTATGAAGAGCTCAAATTACAGAGTCCTTCAATGAGAACACTGGGTGTTCTTCTTTTGTCTATTGTTTTTAAGTTCCAACAGTAAATTGGACTAAATAAAGCATTGTTTGGTAGAGGTGTTTGGGAAATGTGTTTTAATGAATTGACAAGAATTATGCATAATTGCCATCACTGTTTAAATGTAAATTGTATTTCAAAGTAATTAAACCATTTTATTTTAATAGTTTAAATGCTGCTCTTGAAATATTGTTTACATTATTTGCTCAACAAACATTTTTTTTTTCCCATCAATAAAATAAACTTTAAAATCCTGCAAAGATAGATAGGAGACCTAATCTTTTGCCCTTGTATTTGAAAAAATACTAAGTGTTTATATTGAATAATGCGATTTTATAGTTTGTAGAGTTATTTTGAATTTTTCTAGAGAATTTACACCATGACCATCACTCCTTGTTCAAGGTATACATCCATCATGGTTAGTTTTATCAATGCAATGAATTCATAAGGCAGGAGAGGATATAGAAAGACCCTGGGACAGGGATTTTGATCCCTGTGTTCCATTCCCAGCCCCTTGATGAACCAAATGTGGATCTCCAGGCAGGGCTTTTAAAGCTTCAGACTCCACTCACATCACCTGCATAATAGGGAGATTTTACTAGATGCATGGTATTGTTTCTACTGACTTACCTATATGTTCCCTGTTGTAAAAATACTTTATTTTTTTTTAAGATTTTTTATTTATTTGAGAGCGAGAATGAGAGACAGCATGAGAGGGAGGAGGGTCAGAGGGAGAAGCACACTCCCTGCCAAGCAGGGAGCCCGATGCGGGACTCGATCCCGGGACTCCAGGATCATGACCTGAGCCGAAGGCAGTCGCTTAACCAACTGAGCCACCCAGGCGCCCTGTAAAAATACTTTAAAATGACTCAAGCATCACTAAGACTCTTCCGGGGTACAATCTATAATGCCGCCATTACATGCATGGGTTAAGGAACTGGGACTGGAAAGATTAGTGCGTCCCTCGAGATCAGGCTGATACGACAGAGATGAAAGTCCACCTCTCCTAGTGTTCAGCTGGCCTCAGCCAAGGAGAGCTTGTTGCACTGTTACTATCCATCCTGTCCGGTCTCAGTGCCAGTGTCCACACACAGTGAAAATGGCTGTATGTAATTATGTTGAGGGGCCACATAGAGTTTTTAAACAGAGCAAAATTGAAGAAGGTAAAAGATCACTTAAGGAGTGTCTAAGGGCATGACTTGATCATGGCTTATAGGTACTGCAATACAGCATGGGGATAAAACAGAGGCATCTACTGTACCTTTTTTGCAAAAGGGTCCTTCATATGGTGAATTGGTGCAATCACAGAAGTACCCACTGTACTTCTCCACACACTTGCCCCCATTGTGGCAGATGCTACCATAAGTGCTGCAATGACCTGGGCATCCAGGCCGGACTCCAGATGTGACTTTTGCCCTCTCTTCCAGGTCCAATTTCTGCCCATTCAAGTGTAGGGAGCGTATGCATCCTAGAAAGCCTTTCTGTCTTGATGATGTTCCCCCTAAGCAGTGAAAAAGAAAAAGAAAAAAAAAGTAAGATATCATACAGTTCAATTCTTTTAGGTTTAATATTGACACTGGTAACTGTTAAGCACTATTCTGTTGTCATGCTGTGTTGAGCTTTTCCATTACAGTTTCCAATGAGAATTAGGAATTCAAACAGCATGTGCAAAATGCATGTCTTTCCAGGCTGGGAACCTCCTCACCCCTAACTCCAAAACAACAACAACAACAACAAACAACAAAAAACAAAACAAAACAAAAACAAAAAAACAATGGGGCGTCTAGGTGTCTCAGTTGGTTGAGTGTCCGACTCTTGGTTTCTGCTCAGGTCATGATCTCAGCATCCTGGGATTGAGCCCCATGTCTGGTTCCATGCTTAGCAAGGAGTCTGCTTAAGAATTCTCTTCCTCTGCCCCTCCCTCTGCTCTCTCTCTCAAATAAATAAATAAATCTTTAAGAAGGAAGGAAGGAAGGAAGGAAGGAAGGAAGGAAGGAAGGAAGGAAGGAAGGGAGGAAGGAAGAAAGAAAAGATTATATTTCACATGGAATCCTATAGTTTATGATGTTTAAGACAGAAACTACAGATTACCATGTTTCTTGCAAATGAAATAAAATGTGTCATGACATAGTCTATAGCAGACTTTTGTCTGAAGTAGAATACTCAAGCAGGATTGTCCCTTCTGATGGAATTAGAAGCAAGCTGTTAGGCACATCAATTTAGAAAACTGCAACAAGTTTGCATTGCTCATGCAGTGCAATGCAAGCACTGGAAGGTGGGCAGGCTTTAGGACAGACAGACATGGAGTCATACTCCATGTCATTAGCTGATTAGCCATGTTGACCACTGATCACCTCAGCCTTTGCTACATGATCTGTAAATTAAGAATAAGTTTGTTTAGTGTGTTTACAATAAAGCTTAGTGAAGATCATGGAATACAGTACATACTCAATCATTATTCTTTGCTATGCCCTCTCCTGAGCCCTTAAAATGACTCAGACAAGTAGGTTGTTTATATATGTACATTGCATATGTATATATGTGTGTGTGTGTGTGTGTGTGTGTGTATAGAGAGAGAGAGAGAGAGAGATCCTAGCACTTACCTCCAAATTGTTATTTGGAAGGCAAATTTGTCCTTTTGGATTAAAGAACAGGATTCTAACCCAACTTTCTGCTGCAGGGACATCCTGAAGTTTTCAGAGAGATTCATAATGCTTGTTACAAATTATTCAAGAATGGTGTAGATTCAAAGTGACAGAGGACTTTGTTACCATTGGAAATCCAGGACTCTACTAGCCTAAACCTCTGATGTCAGAAAAATGTACACTGAGAGACAAAAGCCAAGAAATTAAGCTAAATCCCATCAGCAGGTATTTGTTTGGTGCTCAAAATTATGGGAAATCCCAGAGAAGACATAGGTCCAGCTTGCCTTTAAAGACACAAGTTCTACTCCAGATTCAACAGTGCGGGCTCAAGTCCACACACATGAATAAATGGAGGGCACCCTCAGGTGTTCAAGATCTACAAAGTATATTAACAGAGACAAAAACAACAGGGGCAGGACAGACTTGTCACTTATTTTCTGTATCTATCAAGTCTCCTTTCTGAACCTCATTCATTTCTAGCCCTACAGCTCTATTAAATCTTGGTCTAGCAAATGACCAGATAAAAATATATCCCCGCCAAGGTGGATACAGATGAGAATTCCAAATGTGTCATCTCAGACCAGGAATATAGACTTTAGACAAGAAACAAAGCAGTAAGTTAAAGAAATGAGTTAGGTAACCTAAACATTCCTGGCATCAGTCAGCCTCGCAGGGTGGACAAGGAAATAATTGGAAATGGGTTTGATGGGAGTATAGAGTGGGGTTGAGGGAGTATTGCGACTTCCCTGAATCACACCAGGTCTACAGACACATAAATATGGGGATGGCAGCCACTGGCTGCATCCACAGACAGACATAACACTCCAAAAACATCTTTTATTCTGAAATAATGCTGAAACTCTACTGTATTTTCAGGTCTGATAAGTGATATTCAAAAAGGCCAGGAGGTCAAACCCAAATTGCATTCTCCTGTCTGTCTCAATTTTAGTGAGTAAATCTTTTAACCACAAGATAAATCAATTATAAATACAAGCAGATCATAAAGGAAGCCTCATTATTTCCTTTCCAGAGATTGTGCAGAATAAAGAAGGGAGGATTTATGTAGTCAAATGTTTTGTCTTGTTTTTTTTTTTTTTTTCCCCCTTATTTTGCAGTCACTCCCTGTGGTAGATTTGAATAACTCTTCATATATCTTGTTAGTGGCATTTTTCTTCTAGCAGAGGTTGAGAATGCAAGATCTATTGCACATTTTCTCACGTGTGACTTAGTCAACAAGTTTATAAATGGAGATGAAAGTGGCTGGGGTGGTTTCCCTGGCAGAAATGCACTCCTTGAGGTTTGAGACATACAGATTATGGAGAGAATGATCCAAAACAAGAGGATCACTTCACTCTGAGATGCTGACAAAACACGCGACACAAAGAACTATGAACAAATTGCACAATGAACTAAATTTCAGTTTTCACCTGACTGCTTTACATTCTTTACAAAGGATAAAACCTAGAGGTCAGGCTCCTTTTTTCTTTATGGAGAAGTAATAGGTAGACTAAGAATAGAATATTTCCAGAGAGATGTTCCTTGCCTACACACTCACACAGTCAGGTTGTTGGTGCTCTCCATTTTCTGATGTTACCTGCTATGTGTAGAGTTTTGTTGCAGGTGTGAACCTTCTCTGAACGTTGAATACTCTACAGAGATGCAGCCACAATCTTCCTTCCCCCTTCTTGCTCAGCAGTCCTTTCTCCCCAAAAAAGTGCTTTGGATGTGCTCTTCCAGATATCTCTTGTTCCATCTGCTTATGCTGCTGCTTCTTCTTCTTCTTCTTCTTCTTCTTCTTCTTCTTCTTCTTCTTCTTCCTCTTCCTTTTTTTTCAAATGTAGTTAACATATAGTGTCAACTGCTTCTTTATACACCTAGATCCATGGCCCTAGTACAATCTTCCTCACCTCAACTTGATTCCCATCAACAACCTTCTAATTGATCTGTCTACACTCAGTCCTGACTTTTCTCATCCATGTACCACTTTGCAATCAGAAAGATCAATCAAATTTGAAAATTTGATTCTGCCATTCCTATTTAATGCTCTTCAGAGACTACTGATTGTCCTCACGATCAAGTTCAAATTCCATTGCACAGATGATACAATATGAAAGATCTGGCCACCACTTACCTCTTCAGCTTCCTTCTCCCACATTCCCTTCTCTGACTTCAGTGCACCAGGACTTCTGAACTACTAGTGGCTCCCCAGGCCCTTCTGGTCTGTCTTGACTTTGGATCTCTTCATGCATTTTGCATTTATGTGGCATGTTATCTTCCCCGTGAGTTCTACAGCTCACAGTACTCTATCCCTGTGATTATAAACACACACACCTGCACTCATATACACACATCCCTTCCCTACATATCTTCTGCCTCCCAGTATTTATTTTAGTTACCAATTTTATTTTAAATGAGAAATATTTTTAAATTCTAATAAATCTTTGAAATAATCAAATCTGTTAACCACGAACCTGCTTTCCTGCATAGCAAAGCTCAACTTCAGCTCTTTTAAGGTAGAGGCAGTTATTTTAAGATGGGGAATCCAATCCCCACTTGGCCACATTCTCCACCAGAACGACTTCATTCATCCATATTGCCTTTCTGGCCCTTGTAGGTATTTGGTTTTTCAACTGCTACTCTAAGATACTTTGTTCTTCACTTGTATGCATCTTGTCTAGAATTCACTAAAACATTTGAGGAGGAAGAACAACAACAAAACTCTAGCATCATCCTCAAAGCAGCTGATAGTCACGTTTTTGAGGCTTTCATTTAATCTAAAAGCTGACAGAGAATCAGAACAATGCTTCTAATTTTTCTTAAAAAAATACATTTCAAACATACTTGCATGCTAGAAACCTTATCATTAACTCACTGAATACCCAAAGGGAAAGAATGTATTCTTCATATTATTTGCATGACCTAGTTGAGGAAACATAGTGCTAGAGAGATTGCTTTGGCCAGAGTCAAGAATCAAACAGATTTTATATGGCAGAGTCAGGTGTTAAACTTGACCTTCAAAGCCTGCATACCTTGAAAGCTCTAAAATCCTAAAATGAATGATTTGATTAGACAATTTGAGTCAGTACTATAACTAAGTGATCCTTCTACCTTCTTACCCTTATCTCTAACATGGTTTCTTCCAGCAAGTAATATGCATGCATGCATTTATTCTCTTGAGTTTGAGCTCACTCTTCCGGAAAACTATCACCATTAGTTGGCTGGCCTAGCTAGAAGCAATTCTGCATGAGACACTACAGTTGGCCCTTGGTATCTAGCACGTTCATTATGATGATGTTTCCTTTGACTGAGTATGAATCAACTCGTAAAAATGTCACTATCATCATTCTAAGCCTGTCTTAGGAAACCTCCATGTGTCAGGTTCACAAATGCTCATCACTTTCAGAGTAATATCTCAAATTTTTTGTGGTTCTTGGCACCAAGTGCAAAAGCCACTATTTCTTTCCTGGGTGCCTGCTTCTTTTCTTCACATGCTCAAGCAAAATTCCTTTGTTGAGAACTCCTGATAAAACACTGAATGTGCCAGGTTGGACTGCAGATTCACAAAAATAACTTTCCTTTTTTCTATCTTTCTTCCTTTCGTGCTTGGTTTTTTGACCTTGAAGTTGGAGCAGCTGTTTTTTATATGAATTACAATAGCCAACTGAACTACAGGTGCATTTACCACCGAGATTCCAAATTCTAAAGTTGCAGCAGATTTAGCATATACATGATGAATAAATATAAATAAACTAACCGTCAGTTATCTTCTGCTTTTATCCCACCCCTCCAACTGACAGAGTCTTGGTACCAGAAGGAAATCCTAGTGGAAACTTTAATTCTAAAACATGATTTTCTT